CAATTCATTGAAATTTGGAAGACAGCTACCTGGCCAACCAACTGGAAGAGATCCATATCTGTGCCCAATCCAAAGAAGGGTGATCCAACAGAATGTGGAAATTATCGAACAGTACTATTAATATCACGTGCAAGTAAAATTTTGCTAAAATCGGCTGCAGACGTTACATTGACAGGGAACTGCCAGAAATTCAGGCTGGATTCAGAAGAGGACTGATGTCAGATGGATCTTAGCTGAAAGCGGAGAATACTAGAAAGTCGTTTACCTGTGTTTTATTGACTGTGCAAAGGCATTTGACTGTATGGATCATAACATATTATGATAACATTGAGAAGAATGAGAATTCCAGAACACTTAATTGTTCTCATGCAGAACCTGTGCATAGACCAAGAGGCAGTCAGTCATTCAAACAGAGCAAAGGGATACTGCATGGTTTAAAATCAGGAAAAGTGTGTGTCAGGGTTGTATCGTTTCACTATACTTATTCAGTCTGTATGCTGAGCAAATAATCCAAGAAGCTGGACTGTATGAAGAAGAATGTGGCATCAGGATTGATGAAAGACTCATTAACAACCTGCAATATGCAGATGACACAACACTGCTTACTGAAAGTGAAGAGGACTTGAAGCACTTACTGATGAAGATCAAAGACTACAGCCTTCGGTATGGATTACACCTCAACATAAAGAAAAAAATCCTCACAGGACCAATAAGCAACATCATGATAAATGGGGAAAAGACTGACGTTGTCAAGGATTTCATTTTACTTGGATCTGCAATCAGCGCCCATGGAAGCAACAATCAGAAAATCAAAAGATGTATTGCATTGGGTAAATCTGCTGCAAAGACCTCTATAAAGTGTTAAAAAGCAAAGATGTCACTTTGAGGACTAAGGTCTGCCTGACCCAAGCCATGATGTTTTCAGTTGCCCCATATACATGTGAAAGCTGGACAATGAATAAGTAAGACCAAAGAAGAATTGATGCCTTTGAATTATGGTGTTTGTGAAGAATATTGACTATACTGTGGACTGCCAGAAGAACAAACAAATCTGTCTTGGAAGAAGTACAGCTAGAATGTTCCTTAGAAGCAAGGATGGTGATACTTCTTCTCACATACTTTGGACATGTTATCAGGAGGTATCAGTCCGTGGAGAAGGACGTCATACCATGCTTGGTAAGGTAGAGGGTCAGCAAAAAAGAGGAAGACCCTGGGCGAGATGGATTGACACAGTGGCTGCAACAGTGGGCTCAAAAATAACGATTGTGAGGACGGTGCAGGACCAGGCTGTGTTTTGTTCTGTTGTACATAGGGTCGCCATGAGTCAGAACCGACTGGAAGGCACCTAACAACAACAACAAGCCAGCACTAGTGAATCAGTGCCCTCTTCCTGCTGATGTTTCAGAGTCAGTCCTTGGCCCTGCTTCCCGTCCGCACCTCTGCTTCAGGCCCTTCATGTGCGTGCTGCTGGGGTGGCTTTACAGCCGGAATCCCTGCCCCAGTTCTCCGCCTTCACGCATCTTACCTGAGTGTCTTGCATCCTCTCTAGACTTCAGTATCATACTGCCACTCTCTGCTCCCTTGCTCAGAAGTATCTCCACTACCATCTCAAAACCTCTAGTAGTAGTTACTAAAAAAAAAAAAAAAAAAAAAAAAAAGCAGGTCAGTCCCTTTCCTCAAACCAAATTTTGCCCCAAACCCTAATATATATAAAAATGGTGGAGCTGAACTGTCCTGCATGTGACACCCAGGGCCCTTTCACCCCTCTGCTCACGCACACTCCCACCCCCCTCTGCCCCTGTGGTTCTTTGGAAACCCAAACAGTACCATGGAACACAATTGGAGTTTTATCTGTCTGTTAAGGCCCAGCTTGGCCATCACTTTCTCCAAAAAGGGCTATCTGGTTATCCTAATCAGAACTGGAATCTCACTCCTCTGAACTTCAGGAACACCTCCAGCTACCTGTGTGGCTGTATAGTAGTTTTGTTATGGGCATGCATGTCTCCAGTCCACTGTTGGAGGGCTGGCTCCTTGCTGGTGCAGTGACTTGCCCGCCTCCTGAGTGCTGCAGCCATGCATCGTCTGCAGCTCTGGAGCAGTGCTTGTGGAGGCCGTAGGCAGGCAGGGCTGTGGCATGGCTGTGGGCATCCTCAGAATCCCGGCCAGTCTTGTTGGCAAACCAAAAACCCTCCCTTTGCTTCTCAGGATTGGCTTGTCTGCCTAGACACACTGAGCCTAGAGCTTTTGTGCCCCCAGTTTCTTTTGTAACCCTGCTTACATTCTTTAGTGGACCAGGGATAATGTTGGGGGACAATAGCTGGTATGTAAAGGAGTCACCATGGTTGTTGATTTCATATACCCCAGTTCCCACTACTTCTCGCCATCTCCACAGCTACCACCCGGGTCCTCCAGCCTGGATTATTATTACAAGAGCCTCTTAACCTACTCATCTCTCCCTGCTTCTACTCACCCTCCTTAATTCAGTTCCCAGTCAGCAGCCAAAATGATCATATTAAAATATAAATCAAGTCATGTTAATCCCTCTGCTCCAAACCCTCCAGGGGCTCCATCCCCCTCAGACTTGAAGCCAGGCCCTAGAATAGTCAGTCCTCAAGGCCTGTGGTACCCTGCTGGCCTCAACTCTGCCCCTTCCCCTCACTGACATCTCTGCACTGGCTGTTGCCTCAGCCTGGGACCCCCCCTCCCAGATCATCCCACAGCTGGCTCCCTTGCCTCCTTCTGGTCTTTGCTGTCAGCTGTCACCTTTCAGTGGCAAGGCCTCAACGGCTTAGCTAAGATTTCTCAGCAAGTAGAAGCAAATCATACCCTAAAGTTGCAGACTGAAAAAAAACATTATAGGTCAAACTACAAGTCACTGTGAAATCAAGTGAGTGGGTCCGGACCAGCATTTTCTTACAATTGAAATAGAGTAGAAAATGTCTGTGTAAGGATAGGAATGTTTTGTAAAACTTTTTTTTTTTTTTTTTTTTGTATTTGGGAATTTGAGTTTTGTTTTTTTTTTTTTTTTTTTTGGCATTTGTGTGTGTGTGCGTGCACACGCACATGGTCACAGTGGAAAAAATGTTTCTTGCCATGGGTCTCAGGTCACTAAGGTTTGAGAAACACAGCCCTGGTCTGCCAGTCACCATGCTTTAGTCTCTTAATCTAGTTGAATGTCCAGAAATCTCTCATAGTAAACTTAGGGTAGATACAGCTTATTTATTTATTTCCTGATGTTAACAGTTTGTCATAAGAATTCTTCAGGAAATCCCAGTCAGAGATTAAATAATTCTTTTTTTAAAATCTCCACTCACAGGCACCCCTCCCCTCAGTGCAGACTGGAAGTAACAGACATTTAACTGCCATCTAGTGTCAGAGCACAGTCTAGACTTAACATTACAGTGAAGCTCGGCCCTGCACCGAGAAGCTTCGCGTGTCTCTGCTAAAACGATAGCTTTCTCACACATACCACAGTGTGTTTGAGGGGAGGGGCTGTGGCTTTAAAGATTCATGCCAACCACTGTTACACCTCATTCAGTTGGCGTTAGGGGAAAAAACGGTCCCAAACTCTAAAGATACATTTAGGAGGTTTTCTCCCTATATATCCTGTCTTGCTGGAGCGATTCTAATTCCAGAAATTCCATGGTTTAGAGCCATCCACACATTTGAGGATGGCAGTGACCTTTTGTATCTGCCAGTGGACAGAAGGACTGAGAGCCTTCTGGCCCCTTCTCTCCTTCTTAAGCAATGTCTGTGCAAGTGCACCGATCCTAATTGTCCAGATTCCGTCTTGAGCAGGAAACACCTAAAGTCTAGTTGTATGAAATTGGTATTCTTGTGCGGTCTTGGGGATCACATGACCAGCTGTATAATCTCATCCTCATCCATTCTCACCTTCAAGCTCTGAACTTTAATAAAGGCCTTATTTTTATATTCATAAATGAGGCTATAGAAGACAAGAGTGGCTTCTTTCTTTAATGTTTTAATGAAAGGGTAAATGCAAGGAGTTGGGGTTTTTTTGGTTTGTTTTGTTTTGTTTTTAACATTTTTGAATTTAGCAAAATTGTCTGCTTACAGACCAAGTGAGGGTAAAGGATTTTTATTGCCAAATATATAAAGGGATGTTTAATGTGGAAATATAATAGAGGGCTGGGATGGAATGTGATTACTGCTTTCAGGTTATTGGGAGACGGTCACTTGGAAAGATCAAACTCACCCTCTATGGCTAAGGGCAGAGTTAGGACCCATGGATAGAGGGGATAGGAGGTAGGTACCAGCCCAAAATAACGAAAGACATTCCAACAGGAGGAGAAGTTTACTGGTGGGATGAGCTGCCTTGCAAAGGTAGTAGGTTCCCTCTGCTTGTGAGGGTTCAGAAGCAGCATGACGGCCCACTCCTCATGGTTATAGAGGCTCTGAGGTGGATGAAAACAGTACCTATTAAACTTTTGTAATGCTTTTTTAAAATTTATTTTTAATTACGCAACTAATGTTTGAATATATTCTTGTTGCAAGAAATTCACATGATACCAGTAAAGTAAATGTGCACCCAGGCAGAGCTCACTCTATCCCACACCTCCCCAGAGGTCTTGGTTGCTCTTGGTTTGAGGTTCCTCCCACACGTATGATTACTTAGGAAAGCATCAGCAACTCCTGTCACCGAAGTAGCCACCTCCCCTATAGGGGCAGACTGTCCCGCCCACGGGGCTCATTGCTCAGTCCACACGTGGCACCCTCTCTTTCACGGGCCCACCAGCTATTAAAATGTATGAGTTGAGATTTCGGTCTGGGAGGAAGGAAGAATTAAAAAATATATATATAGTATTTCTAAAGAAAGTACAGTGGGCTAGAACAGTGTCATTCTGTGAGTAAATGCTACCAGTGTTTGGCACAGAAATCGTGTGACTAATGAACGCTTTATTTGAATAATGCATATTTCTGGTAATCTGTCCACCAGTAAGATGAGTTAGTATTTAACCTCTTGTTTTCTGTTTAACTAGGGTCATTGGTTTCCTGGAAGCTATCGTTTGCATAAAATTTGGGCAAGATCTCTTCTCCAAGACCCAAATACTTTACGTTGTGCTTTGGCTTCTTTGTGTGGTAAGTCATTACTATTTTTAATCTAAAAGTGTTAGCTAAACTCCCGTGGTTATCTCTTAAATAAATAAATAAATAAACAATAACAAAAAAATCATTACTCTCGTGCACCAAGTAGAAATTCATAGAAAAGTCATTCTACTTGTAATACCCTGAGACTGGCCACATGCCGTTGCAGTCTAAAGTTCAAGAATAAACCACGTAGAACCACGCAGCTCCAGAAGTGGGTCACCTTGGCAGGTTCCAGTCAAATGCCCTCAGTAGGTGCACCAGACGTACATTTAATTAACATACGAGAATTCACCTACATGTGCTGAGAATATAAGGACTGTCATGAAGGAAGAGGGATAGGTCCAGTGCCCTTTCTTCCTTCATCACATCATCATTATACATTTTTACATATATATTCCTGTACAAGAGTTTATGTACAAAATGACATACTGTAATTTATAGGCTTATAAAAGACATTTTCAAAGGTTTATCAGGCTAAGCAATTTCTGCCCTGCAGCGGACTTTATAACCCCAGCCCTGTGTAAGATGGGCCTCCACTTTAATGGGAAGAGTCTTGAGGGGAAATCGGCCCAGTCTCTCTTGAAGTGTTAGAAACTTTCTGTAGTACTTAATTTACAGATAGCATATGCCTCCTTACACTGATGATTTTTTATTTGCCTTTATGTCTGTTATTGCAACTTTATTGCAGACATGGACTATTTCTTAAACACCCATCAGTCTCTACTTCCCTTAACATGGCTCCTTGTAAGTCAGTCTTTCATACACAAAACATGTAGAATAGATAGATAGAAAGGCTCAGCCCCTTCTGGAACTTTTTCCTCATCTTTAAAATGAAATAATACCTATTACTTGATATTACTGAACATTTTGTGGCTACCTTTTTTAATTTAATTTTTTAAAATTATTGTTTTGGAGGAAAGTTCTTATTTTTACCTTTTTGCTTAAGATTTTTTACTTTTACTTTACTTGATTAATAAAATTAGCTTGAGGCTTTTATTTTAATCATGGAAAATTTCAGACATATTTAAAAGTGGAGAGAATTGATCGACTTTTATATGTCCATCATCCAGTTTCAACTGTTCAACTCGTGGCTGATCTTGTGCCCTTTATATACCTACCCACTCCCTGCACCCCAAATTATTGTGAAGCAGATCCACCTTTAAGGAGCCCTTGTAGCACAGTGGTTAAGTGTTCAGCTGCTAACCCACCAGTGACTCTGTGGGAGAAAAGACCCAACGATCTACTCTTGTAAAGATTAAACCAAAAAAACCAAACCCATTGCCATCAAGTTGATTCTAACTCATAGCAACCCTATAGAACAGAGTAGATCTGCCCCACAGAGTTTCCAAAGCTATAAATCTTTACAGAAGCAGACTGCCACATTTTTTCACCCATGGAGTAGCTGGTGGGTTCAAACCGTTGACCTTTCAGTTAGTAGCCAAGTGCTTAACCACTGCACCACCAGAGCTGCTTCCCATAAAGACTACAGCCTAGGAAACCCTATGGGGCAGTTCTACTCTGTCACATAGAGTCACTGTGAGTCAGAATTGACTTGATGGCACACAATAGCAAACAACAGGTCCACCTTTAGTATTTTAGGATGTATCTCTAAAAGAAGGTAAGAATGCCTTTTTTGTTTAACACAACCACTATACCATTATCACACCAAAAAAGAACATTAATTCCTTAATGCTGTCAAATGTCTAATCAACGTTAAATTTAGAATGTGTTGGAATCAGTATCCATAGGTTGTGATTGATCAGCATGTCTTTTAAGGCTTTTGATCCGTAGGTTTTCCCTCCATCTCTGTCTCTCCTTCTCACGCAGTTTATTTGTTGAAGAAGGCAGGTCTTTTGACCTATAGATTTTCCATAGTCTGGATTTTATTGATTGTACTACAGTGTAACATATTTCTTTGTCCTCTGTATTTCCTGTAAGTTGGTCTTTGGATCTAGAGGCTTAGTCAGATTAATCAGATTCAGGTCTTTTTTTTTTTTTTCTTTTTTTTTTTTGCAAGACTAAACTTTGTATTTTTAAAGTGTCATTAATGCCTTTCACAGTGTCTCTTTTTAGGGCTACTTGTTAGAAATCCTAACTGCACCCAGGCACCTTAAGTCAGTTCTGTCCTGTTTCAAACAGTAAAAGGGAATAATGATCCCCTTTGTGTTTAAACTCCAGACTTAATGCTCAAATGTATTTTTTCAGTCTTAGTGAGTCTAGATGTAGAAATATGCTAGGTGAATGTGTCAGATGTGCCCAGAGATTTTATTTTAACTGGGACTTCTCAGCTTTCTCTATCACCTGTACTTCAAGGCTGTGAATTATAACATGTGACCTGACTCCAGCGGGGCAGAGATGGGTACCCCTATTCTCTCGCCATTCTGCCCCTCAAATCCATTCTCCACTGCTGTCAAGTTGATCTTCAGAAATTCAGATCTGACTCTGTCATGCCATCATTTACTGTTGTAGGTGGCTTGAGGGACCAAATAAATAACATTTTTACCCACCCAAGTTCAAAAAGCATTAAGAGAGACAGAGTGGAAGAAGGATATAGAGGTCAGAATATCATCTTTCTTACTGAGAATCATACTTTTTTCAATGTCAGCGGTTGGTGCACGGCAACAAGAGGCCTCCTAATGTCAAACCCCAGAATTAGAGATCTTCTCTAGCTCCTTACTACCCGTCTGTCAGTTTGTCATGCTGTGGTAGCTTGTGTGTTGCTATAATGTTGGAAGTTATGCTACTGGTATTTCAAATACCAGCAGGGTCACCCATGATGGACAGGTTTCCGTGGAGCTTCCGGACTAAGACTAGGAAGAAAGGCTGGCAATCCACTTCAGAAAATTAGCCAATGAAAATGTTATGGATCACAACAGAATATTATCCAGTATAGTGCTGGAAGATGAGCCCCCTAGGTTGGAAGGCACTACACAGTGGCTGCAACAATGGACTCAAACATAGCAATGATCATGAAGTTGGCACAGGACCGGGCAACGTTTTATTCTGTTGCACATAAAGTTGTCATTAATTGGAGCCAACTCAACGGCAGCTAACAACAACAGTACCAATCCTCCAGCCCCAGGAAGCAGGCCTCCTCACATGATGTGTATATTTGGGGATGGGGGATGCTGCCCTTGTAAACTCAGAGCATGGAGAAATAGACTAGAAGGTGAACTTCCTGTCGGCAGACTCACACCCGGGGGAAAGACAGCAAGGGGCAAAGCTCTTCATGCCCAGCTTCCTTATCCAGGTTCACCAGCCAGTTAAGCTACAGCTCCTCCCCGGGGAAGGAGTGAGGGTAGAGAGAAGCCAGGAGTATTATACCAGTGAAGTTCCCTCTATGGAGAAATATCAGGTGTGAGAAGAAGGGTCTCCACCATGAAACCTACCAGGTAAAATATAAAGTCTTGCATGTCAGTTTAGGACCATCATTATCTGGCTCATTCTATCATATCTTCCCACTTGTTCTCTGTACTCAGGCGACATCAGACTACTCTTAGTCACCCAAACAAATCATCCTTCCAGACCTGTCTTGCCTTTACCCATGATGTTTCCTTTGCCTGACCTAAGTACCCTTCTCTCCCTTCTCTCCCTGGTGAAACTTACACCCCAAGACCAAACTTGAACTTGTGCCCTCCATGAAATTGTCTCCGACCTCTAAGGCAGAGTAGGCAGCTCCTTCCTCAGGGGACCAGTCACACTTTGTACATAACTGTTTTAGTCCTCACCTCAGGGTAATGTAATTTATTTTGTTTATAACTCTGTCTCCACAACATTGCACTGTTGCCCACAGAGAATAAGTTTTAATCGTCCTTTTATTCCCACTGTCCGGCACAGTTACTGACACGTGGGAGCCCTTAGTAAAGGTATGAACAATAAAGGAATGACATCAGTGGACACAGATGAGGAGACAGGCAGTCAGGCTGAGAGACAAAAGTGTACAAAGACTCAAAGCTGTGAGCGCCCAGTATCTCCAGGAGGTGGTAACCTGATGGCGGGAAGAGTGAAGAGAGCTAGCTGGAGGAGTGGGAGGGTGGGGACACCTGCTCTGAAGGGCTTCATGTGTCTGTAGTTGAAGACCCAAAGAAAATTTTTAAATGGTCTGATCTGCATATCATCGAAGATCATGTGGCGAGCTGGTCAGTCTAGAAGGGAAGATGAATTGGAGGCAGGGATGCAGTCAGGGGTACTGCAGTGTCCTTGGTGAAAAATGGCTGAGGCTGAACCAAGACAGAGGCACTTGAAGAAGCAGAGAGACGGTTGTCTTTGAGAGCTGGTCACGGGGTCAACTCAACTGGACATCATTCCCCACGTGATAGTTGGGAAGGACATGAGGGTGACTCCAAGGTGCATGCCAGTGGGTGGCTGTCATTGCTGTAATTTATGGAGGAGGTGTATTTGGTTCAGGAGAGTTGGGGTTTGAGAGACATTTAGAACTTGCAGGTGAAGGTGTGTCCTGTAGTGTTGGAAGCAGTAGTCTGTCCAGTACTATTGGGAAGACTCGGTCAGCGGTGGAGATGAAGACATGGGAGCCACCAGTATGTACGGTATGGTGGAAGCTGTGAAATTAGGTCAGAGTCAGGGAAGCATACTGTGGGAAGAGAAGCTGGCTGAGGTTGGAATTCTATGGAGCTGCTGTGTTTAGAGGCCAGGCTGAGGAAGAGGAGCAGCAAGAGCACCCAAAGGGGCTACAGAGAAGCAGCAGCCCCAGAGAGCAGGACTTTGAAGATAGGTGGAATCCACCCCCTGATTGGATGGGGACCTGCCCTGAAAAGGCCTTTGGATGGGATGATCAGAGGTCCCGATGGCCTTGCACATTTACCAGTTAAAGAATGGAAACAAGGTCTGGCGCTTTTCTGTATTCATGGCCTTTTGTAAATAGCAAGATGGATCTTAAACTTAGGTGAGAGGAGAACATTATTCAATAAGAGGGTGTTAAGTTACGAAGTGCCTCCCTCACTATTACTCAGAGAAACAAAGCCCACAATTATTCCTCTGGCATGGTGAGAGAACATATATGGAATTTAAGATTATCGTGGAAGCAGAGGTCCTTCATGGTACCATGTAATAAGCTTCTCTGGCAGCAGTTATCCAGTCAATCATGATATATTTGAATGCTCATTACCGTACTTGGGAGCCAGGGATTTGTGCCCTCATCACCATCACCACCTATGACTGCTGTGCCCGTGCTGGTGGATGGCCTGGCTCTCATCCAGGGGTTTGAGCCAGTTCAGTCACGGCCAGTGAAGCGAAATCGGAACAGACCCCAATTTTTTAAATTTGGGTTAAGTGGAACAATAAGCGGAATGGGAAAATTTGCGGATTGAAGCCTTGGAATGGGAGACTCGGAAGAGGTGTGGTGAGCACGTTCAGGAGCCCGGTGCAGGAGATTGGATTGTGGCCAGGACTGTGGAGAGTGACGTACATTCAAAGCAGAGGGGTCAGCTAACATCTTTGAGTGGGGCAGCTCTGCTGGTCAAGAGATTTGGTTGCTGTGCAACGAGCACACTGCCCTTGTTTTCTAAGAGAGACTGTCCAGCAGGGCTTCAACCCGTAATTTTCCCATTCTGCTTCACCTACATTAAAAAACTTCAGGTCCGTTTGGGTTTTACTTCATTGGCCGTGACCGAACCAGGCAGTACCGGTTCAAAGCCCTGTTCTCATCGCACATCTCCTCCCCCTCTTCTTTAAACAAAATCTGTATGATTGCTGTTTTAAATCCAGGCCTTGACGTTTTAAGTGGATATTTGCCTAGATTTTCACAGGCGTGAGTGCAGACCAGTAAATTACAAGGTTTTGTCTCCTGGAACAAGAGTAAAATGGGTCTCTTTACTCACAGGTGAAGTGGTAAGTTTGGCAAGCACAGCAGGTCTTTTGTGTGGTGATTTTGATGATAACCTGTCACTCACCATCTGCCATTGTTTGCCTGGCTGTCTGCAAAGCTGGCACTGCCCCTCTCTGCTATTGGGAGGGAGCCCCAGCTACCCCTGCCTGTCCTCCCAGGTGTGGGGGCCCTCCCAGGTGTGGGGGCCAGGAAAGGGTGTAGATGAGTCGCTCGTGCCTGCCCTCTGGTGGGCAGAATTTGCAATGACAGTCCAGCCGGCCATCACTGCTCTCTTGGTCTAGTTGGACCTCTCTTTGGCCAAACTCCCCACCTCCACCCTACAGCCCAGCCACTGACTGTTTTGAGGATAGTGGAACCTATCCTCCCCACCGCCATTCCTCAGAGTGACAGAGAAAATCTTTTGTAGTCTTTCCCATTGTTTCCATACCATAAAAATGGTACACTTATGTTGGCGTATATTAGAAATCTGAGCAAGTACTAGAAAATTTTAAAGGTTAGAGTTTTTATTTTATAATTTTAATATATTCATTCACTGCCTATTTTTTTGATGGGGAGAGATGAGCTTTTCTTTAAATCCCTAAAATCCCAGTTTGCGTATGGATTTAATATAACATGAACTAGTTCTTATGCAATCACCTCACTGTGCCACTGTTCACACTTAATCAGCATGGAACGGGAAGGCTGGAGTACTCTGAGTCCTTTCTTTTTTGGAAGTTAAGA